GCATCTCAAGGTCCCTCTGACAGATTGAGTCATATCTGATAACATCCCATTAATAAAGAGAACAATCCTTAGAACAGATACCAATAACAAATTCTTTCAAATTATTTGGTTTACATACAACAATATAACATGCCTTAATTGATGTGCATTTTATGAGATTTTCCAGAGGTCACTGTCAGGATTACAATATGATCCAGCACGTAGAACTGTGTAACACAGGAGACTAATAGGTAACGTATACCGGGCCTTCGAATGGCTAAACTCACGTACCAAAGAAAAGTCAGGAATAGCCGAGGTCAGGGGACACAGAAAGGGACACAACGATAAAGGAAAGCCAGAGGTCAGTGATACCAGAAAACAGGGAAGTCAAAATCAATGCCAAAGTCAAATAACCAGAATAACCAGAATAAGGAACGCGCTCTCGGACAACCACTAGGGAAACCATGACAGGGCAATGAGGGATGGTATTTTTAGTTTTTTTTTTAAATTCTTTATTTAGCATTGATGTATTGAACAGACAGGTTCGAATATATAACAGCATAGGTATAAAACAGTGTTGTTACGGACAGCAAGTAAGCATGTTTAACATTGTGTCTAAATAACGTTGCTGTAGCCTCTTGGTAATATTTATTGGGCTACCTAAATTTCAGATTATCCTGTTAACTCCCTGGTTTGCGAACCATAGTCAATGTTTGTTTTCATTTTTTTAACATCACAAGTGAAAAAAAACAAGCAAAGAATACGAACATCTTACATTTATATCGCTGGTTGACCTTTGGGTCCATACTGTAATCTTTGGTACCCTGATCCCTGCCCGCCATGATAACGTTTGTTGTTAAGGGAGATGAACTCCTATCACTTTCTAACTTGGACGATGTTCCTGGTGTATTGTCTAAATCTTCCTTTCTCTAGCTTTTAGATCATCCGGGCTACTCAAAACATCAGCGAGAGCGCCCTTAAGGCTTTGGCGTCTGTAGCGGTTCTGTCTCTCCTACCGGGGAGCCATGTTGGACTTTTGTCACCAGAACCTTGTCAGCTTTCCCCCAAAGATATAGGGGGAGAATGTAGATATTCGTAAAGAGAAAGAATAGAGAGAGGGATGTGGGTATACCTCACACAGGGGAGGGCGGCAGGCACGTATTTTTAGGTTTAAATACCTGCTTTACTACTCTGATTGGCTGAAATTGCTCTTTGCCTCCAAAACATGCGCGCATGGTGCATGCGTGAAGTCACGTGCACGCCATCGTTAATCACGTGAGCGGATGTGAGTGTATATTTTGCAGTGGATCCGCAGCGGCCGGCATCCATTAACATGCCGCTAGTGTCAGTCATGCAGACACAAGGCCGCTGGGTGCAGAGACTGCAAGGTGAGGAAGAATATGTTACAGTCACCAACACACTTCACCTCATGAGTTTATCATGACAGATGTAAATTTGTCTATGTACCTGGGCCTAATGCTTGTTTTGTAGTGAACTTAATTACTTATCCAATATTAAACGCATTGAACTCAGCAATCGCTTATCACAGCTTCAGTTTGCTTGTTTTGTTACTTTTCAGTATTTCATAAAGATATACTCTTTATGAAATTGTATTTAAGACTGCAATGGAATTTCAGTGAAATTCCAATGCAATCCAAAGATTAGACGTGCAATTAGTTTTGGTCCGAATGTGAATTCGGACGAATTTCGGACAATGTCTGAATTTCGGGCAATGTTCCGCATTTCGGAAGTGCCGAACCGAACCAAATTGCTAAAGTGCCAAATCTTTTTACATACCCGAATTTCCGAACCAAATTTTTTGCCCATGCACATCCCTACCAAAGATACCAGGACAAGCCTGAAGTTGTCAAAAGTTGACAACAGATTGTGCCATGTCATCATCATTTGCCTAATCCCAACAGTCATCACAAGTGACAGCTGTGTAATTCTGGCATTTTCCAAGGAGGTTCCTGCGGTCTTTACCATGGACCTCGTCTATACAATACAAAAGAGGGTACTGTACAATATGGATCCCAAAAAAAAACGTAACTCTCCCCACATGTACGGGTTACAAGTTATACAAGAAAACGGTCCAAAAGTGTAGCCTCGGTAATCAGCGAGATGCAGAGTTCCATGCTTTTGTAGTCACCATACAGAGGTTGCTCTTCTTAATGTAAGTGGGCTCCCCCTCACTTTAATAGTTTTTGTTAGCCCTCCACCTACTTTGTCTTCCCTCAAATTAGCACTCTCTTATGTGTCCTGGTGTAGAATTGGTGGTTTTTCAAAGTTGATAGCTGCCAAACGTCTCGTTGGGTTGGAGTTCCAGATGATTAGCAAGTATCTCCCGCTGGTGCAATTCTGTCTTTCCTGGCAAACATCAATGGCTGTCAGTGGCGGTAAATAGGCGCTCCCCTGCCTGGAGTTTAGATGAACAAAGGGAGGTGGAGACAGGGGTGTAAGGTAGCTCTTTTGAGGAGAGTTGCATAGAGTACTAACCACTAATTTGGCAGAGACAGCCTGATTCTCACTGGTCAATTCTCTACTTGTCAAACTTTCAGACCAGGCCATCATCTCTTATCTTGTCTAGCCCAGCTCCAATATGGGTTAGATGTTCCTCCCAATAATGTAGATTGCAATGTTGTCCAGATATGCACAGGCATAGTCCTGGAGGCCATTGAGGAGTTAATCTACCATCCACTGGAAGGTAGCCAGGGTATTCTTCATCCCAAATAACATAACTCTAAATTGATACAGGCCCAACAGGGAGATGAATGCCAACTCAGAGATGGCTTCCTCTGCCAGGAGAATTTGCCAATAACCTTTGCATTGCCAGGGAAAGGTACCTTACCACTATCTATTTGTGCTGTAAAACAGCTGGTCTGCCCGGGGCATGGGGTATGTGTCTGTCACTGTCTTTTCGTAAGCCTTCGGTGGACAACGCAGAAATGGGTCGTCCTGTCTTGTTTTGGCATTCCATGTAGAGCTTAAGCAAATTCACATCGAACATGCATTTAACCCTTAAACCAAGCACTTGGCCACTACGTAAGAAATACGAGAGAGGCAATCTCCTAGTTCCAGCAAGTAGGGTACAATAGGGCTCCCATCTCAGCTGACGTTGCATCTCCAATGTTCCCTTTTCAGATCACTGCTCAAATACCGCCCATGCAGCAGTTCAAATGGAGAGAACCACATAACATAACAGGCCCTGGTGCCACTCGAACTTCTCCCTCTAGCCCTCCAAGGTGTATCTCTGCTCTAGCCTTGTAAACCTGTAGTGATGGGTCCTCCATAACTTCACCAAACTCTCCTGAGGCATCACATGTAAGAGTGGCTACAGTCACCGTTGGGGCACGTGTATTGTGTCTTGCCTAGGTATCATCGGAGTGCATCACGGCTTCAGCAGAGTGAGATTGGCGCCTGGCGGTTAATAGGCATAGTTCCTCAGTAGGTGGTGTCTGTATAAAGTCAAAGTAAGCTGGCCTAAGTCATTCCCAAGGAGGACCTCTGCAGGGAGTTATTTCATTATGCCCACTTACATTCATTTTGGGTGCTCTATCTATTCTTAGGAGCACTAGAGATATATACACTATCAACTACTATTGTAGCAATTTAACATAGACACGTTGCTGAGTTTTAAAGTAAGCGTGACTTCACAATACAATTGTGAATTGCAAAACTATGTTTTGCACACATCATTAGGCAAAGGTCTCTGAAAACTTATGAACAGGACCTTTTATGGACCTAGCTTTCTAACCCTCTCTGTGATCGGCAACCAGTCCTGTTACACTGTCTTTTTATTTCTAGCCTTAGACACTATTACGTTTGTCTATTACATCTGGACACTGATTTAATAGACTTTATACAGACACTGTGGATCCCAAAACCTGGTTTTGCATACACTACTAGGTGTAGGTCTCTGTAAATTTATGAACAGGACCAATTTATCTGTACATACTTTAGTTATTTATCAGAACTAATTTGTAAATACTTCAGTTATTTATTTACTATATATATACTTGAGTTGATTTAGATTTATTAAACTGTTCATACCACAGTTTACAATTTCAGTGGGTTGCAAAACCATTTCTTGCATACACCACTAGATTAAGGTCCCTGGAAATTTTCAAACAGGACCTTCTTTTTTCATTTTGTTTGTGTATATACCTTAGTTTATCATTTATTTTAGCATTACTTTCACTATGGATACTCATAATAGATTTTAGAATTACTATTAATGGTTATATTTTAAATGCATTTAGGGCACTCATTTTCTCTTTTCTTTATTACTACTTCTCTAGCCCTTGGGTTAACCCCAATACGAGTGCTCTTTCAGCTTCTACTTTCTTACTTAGTTTTTTCCCTTAAATCTATACTCGAGGAAATTTCCCCGAACATAGTTTAGAGGGATTCCCTGCTCTGACGCATTTGTCTATGTTCGGGGAACGCACCAGAGCAGGGAATCCCCACGACGGCTTGCACTTACCACTGGTTGCGAACCGTCGTAAAACAGGTAGGTCGCAAAACGAGGACCACCTGTACTAACTTTTGTGTGGAACCATGTCAAACTCCTTGGCAAAATCCAAGTAGTCAACATCCACTGCAACATCCGGATCTATATTTCTGCTTCATAGAATGCAATTGGGTTAGTTTTTCATGATCAGTGTTTCATAAAACCATGCTGATTTCTGCTAATGACATTGGTTTTCCCAATGAATTCTTGAATATTATCTTATAATAATCAAATACTTCCACCGCCACAGACGGTAAAATCACAGGCTTATAAATCCCCAGCAGAGATTGTAAACCCTTTTTGAACACATCTGCCTTTCTCCAATCCTCCGGTAAGATTCCTGAAAGAAAAGAATCCTGAAAGATTAAAAACAGAGGTTTGCTTATTTCCACTCTTAATTTCTTAAGTACTTGTGGATGAATATCATCAGGCCGGGAGCTTTTATTTTATTACGCTTCTTTAGTTGCTGTAGAGCTTTGTCTTGTATAATCCAATCGCAAAGGTTTTTTTGTTTTTTTTTTGCATTCACTTTCATTTTATTAAGTGATTTTTTTTTACAATATATTTCTCTTAATTTGCACATTATACTGAGATCATATCTATACTTTTTTACATGTGAAATTTATGTTATATTTTAATTTACAACCAAGAAAAAAGTATTAACCCCATAACAAAAACAAAAAATTAAAACCTGTTTAAAACATTTAAAGAAAATATCAGAAACAATGTTAAGTACAGTGTGTGTGTCACATTTTGTTAGCATACCATGAAGCGAGTAATGTATTAATAAATGGTAATAGCCACATCAGAGCAATTGATGCCTCATACACATCACTGAACAGTCGTTTCATTTTGTATCGTGCTGGGGCCACAGTGTAAACAACTCTGAAACCATTTTAAATACCAGTTTAAGAATAGACCAACGCATGCATTACCAGATTTCAAGTGCAAGAAGAGAAAAGAGTGTTATCATATGGAGAAAACAAAAAATAAGAAATAAAATCTGGGGAATGAACAGCAACAACTACTAAACTCGTTCATAATTTTCTAGATATCAAAACGATAGGTATATCTGGATAAAATACCTAGAAAATTGTAAAAATAAAAAACCAAAACCACCCAAAACCAGAGACAAACAAAAAAAATTATGATGAAAGAGTCAATAATAAAGTATTTACCCGGAAAGGTGAAATAACCTTCACACGCTTTCTCTATTTCAAGTATCTCCTAGGTTGAAACTGTTCTGCCAAGGAATATATTCTTATAAATCTCTTTATCTACCCCAGTGACTGCAAAGAAAAATATGAATAGACCAGATCCATCTCTTGAGAGTTTTTTTTTTTTTTTTTTTTTTTATAGAAGAGGATGTATGAAGTATCAGTCAGCCAACAATGCACAATGGATAGTACAAAATGGAAACTATGGTCTGACCAAAATTACCATATAATGCCATAAAGGCATTTATGTGAAGTTCATTTACGTGCTTGAGATGTACTATTAAATTCCATGGGCATTAAATGAAAACTTCTCTTGAAATAACTTATGAAAAGGTTGGTTACTAAGCATTGAAAAACACATACATAAACCAATAGGAATTCAACATTTTTGCTTATCTTACATAACCAATTTAAACGTACCACTATACTTTGAGTGACCTTTTATTTTCTAGCCACAATTCATGAGGTTGAGCATATATGATGTTCAACCTACTAACAGGGACAGTGTCAGAGAATACTTTTGTTTTGTTGCATTTCATAGTTTAGGGAACAGTATTGTAAAAAACCTTTAATTCTTGAGTTTATCACATACTTGTTTGCTCTGCTTGCTGGCTAATTACTGTGATGCCTCAGCTACTTATAAGGGATTCTCCGAACTCTAACAATTTAACAATCCATGCATAGGTTATGTTCCAACAAGGTCTTGTGCCCCTGTCTACCTTATTCCTAGTTAGTTACAAATGCAATGATTTGCGTTCACTGCAGCTATAGGCTCATACTTTCAACTGGATATATTACTGGAGGAAGCCATGCAAGCAGCTTTATGGCATGCGACCGCAGGGCAATATACTATAATATACAAATCACTTCCTCTATCAGCAACTCTGTTTCAGGCTTCTGTGAAAGAACTTTGGCCACAAACTCTATATTTTTTTGAAACTGTGAAGAGACAAGAATGGAGCTATTGGCAAGCTGAGAGCAGTCAGCAATCAACTGAACTGCTGCATAGTGCCAAACTACTTATTTCATAAAGGTTTTTTTGCAACAATTAACTGCATATGTCTTATAGACTGGTTAATAATATATCCTGGAAAAAAATATTATTTGAAATGTCTGCCTTTTCCTGATCTTCATGTTCTAACATACCCATCTCTGATTCCCATGAAACTACAATTTCATTTTTGTGTTTTTCAAATGTATGCACTCAAATGTAGGCTACAGGGACAGGCTATAGGCACCAGAACCACTACATTAAACTGTAGTGGTTCTGGTGACTATAGTGCCACTTTGAAAAAAAAAAACTGGCTCCTAGATTCCAAACAAATTTGTCAAAATTTGGCCCTGCTCTAAGCCAATCAGTAGCTCCCCATTCATAAAAAAGTAAAACATTTTATGAACCGGGAACTAGCGATTGGCTTAGAGCACCCATACCTGACGTCAATCTGCACTTCCTGACACTCCGTTTCAGAAGCCGAATACCACTTAGCAACCTGGAGCTGGAGGAAGCCTTTGGGGTTAAACCATTTGAGAGCGGTTTAACCCCTTAAAAGAAAGAGAGCACCCAGGAGCTTCCTGGCATCATAGCATTTTCATTTAGATGAAGTTGTTATGGTAACCAGAATGTTCCTTTAATTTGCTTAAAGGAACACTATAATGTCAGGAATACAAACATGTATTCCTGACACCATAGTTGTGAAAATGCTATTCACCCTGGCTTTATGTGATAGTGACTATGCCCCTTCCCTTTCATGACACTGTCAAAAAGGGACCAAGCATGGATGTCATTACAATTATGCCCCCTCCCCCCCCCCCGAAAAATTCCTGCGAACAGCCATGTCTGTGATTGAACAGTCACAGAAAGTCTGTGCTGGGGAAGAAGGGGAGGGATCACAAAAGCTTCAAACAAAAGATCTGTTTTTAGATATACCCCCAATGAAGAAAAAAAATATATACCATGATGTTATTGGGGGTATGTATATGTAGTAGTGATTTTTATTTATTTTGTATTTGGGCAGTGGAGTGTTCCTAAACTCACCTTTACCCTAACCACTTTTAAGATCTTAACCATGCATGCATTTACACTGCTGCAAACACTCACTCTAATCACAGATTCAAACACAATAACTTACACATAGAAATATATATATATATATACTTACATACACATACACAGTGTGTTATAAAATGTGAGTCATTTATTTCCTCAGCAGAGTCTATTCTTCATTGTTTTGCAATGCTAAAATCTGAAATTAAACTACTTTCATAGCTAAAGTGAGTGATACATGGTTTACTTATTACATTTTATAAAGTTGTGATATATGTGTATACAACATAGAATGTTTGCAGTATAGTTTATCTTCTTAAGGAAGGAGATGTGAAGAATATATACAGAACTTGTTTGAGACAGGGACTAATCAATTAGGGAGCTATTCATTTTTTGAACATTCTTAAAAGTTCTCATTAAGTCTGTTTTGACGTGCCCTTAGGGTTTTAGATCAAGGTTTTGCAGAGGATGTGATTTTGCAAAGTCATCTGGCACAGTTCCTCACTAAACATTACAGTACAAATCAAAAACAGGTGGCTTCAGTGTTGCCGAACAAGGTATAGAAAGTAGTTGTCAATGAACTTTTTCCAAATTGGATAAAGATGGTAAGTGCTGTGCCTCAGAGGTCTGTTCTGGATGTACCTGTGTTGGCAGAACACAAAACTAGGTTAGGCACAGGACCGGACTGGGAACTAAAAGCAGCCCTGGAAGAAAATTCTATACCAGCCCAACAATGCACCGCGCAAGTACAGGCGAAAATGCATCACCTCCAAACACTCACACAAAAAATGCACCTTCTCTTGTGTTTATCTTAACCCCCTTTTGAATTTCTTGCTGTTTTCTTGTGTTTCTTATTCCCTCTTTTGATTTTTTTTAACTTGTTTAGTGTATCTTGTCTCCAATTTTTCTCCTTTGTGTTTCTTACAACCCCCTTGTGTGTCTTTCAACTTGTGTATCTTTTACTTCATCCCAGCCCGTGTGTCTCTTTTTACCCTTCTCCAGCCCACTGTATGTCTCTTCCCCCATCGCCTTGTGTGTGTGTCTATGTCCCCCCTAGCAAACCTTCTTTGTGTCTCTTTGTCTCCCCCAGTCCCTCTGTGTGCATCTTTTTCCCCTAGCCCAGCTTTGTCCCCCACAAACCTTTTGTATGTCTCTTTGTCCCCCAGCAAACCTTCTGTGTCTCTTTGCCTTCCCCCAGTCCCTTTGTGTGCCTCTTTCTTCCAGCAGACCCTCTGTGTGCCTCTTTCTCCCCTCACTTCTTCTCTGTTTCTCTCTTCCCCCTCTGTCTCTTTCTCCCACTCCACCTGTCTCTCTCTCTTCCTCCTCTGTCTCTTTCTCCCCCTCCACCTGTCTCTCTCTCTTCCTCCTGTCTCTTTCTCCCCCTCCACCTGTCTCTCTCTCTTCCTCCTGTCTCTTTCTCCCCCTCCACCTGTCTATTTCTCTTCCTCCTCTGTCTTTCTCCCCCCTCTGACTCTTTCCCCCCCTCCCCTGTCTCTCTTTCTTCTTCCTCTGTCTCTTTCTCTCCCTTCTTCCTGTGTCTCTCTCTCTCTCTTCCCCTCCCTGTTTCTCTCTTCCCCCACTCCCCTCTGTCTCTTCCCCCTCTCTCTCTTCCCTCCCCCTGTCTCTCTCTTCACCTCCTCTGTCTCTCTCTTCCCTCTCTTTCTCCCATACTACCCCTCTGTCTCTCCCCCCCTGTCTCTTTCTCCCCCCCAATATTTCTCCCCTTCACCCACTGAGGTTGACCTTGTCTGAAATCGGATCTGGAGCGGCAGGGACAGCAATGTGCTGTTGTCTCTCTCCATCATGCTCCCATGTGGTTCCCACAATTCCCTGCCTGGACACATCATAGAGTAATCACCACTCTATGATGTGGCTGTGCTGGGAATTGTGGGAACCACATGGGAGCATGATAGTCAGCTCTGCCCCCATCCTCAGTCCTCCAATGCTTACTGACAGCTGCACGGCTGTCAGTATCAGCGACTGTGCCGCCAGACCGGTACACTCACTACCCGGCCCAGCGGCACCATCATACACTACAGAGCCGGCCGCAAGGTAATTATTGAACGCGGCCGGCCCCCTCAGAGTGTGCCAATGGACGGGCACCCGGCGACACTTACATGCGGCTGGTGCCGCTTTGATGCTCAAGTTGGCCACATGGCTCCCTCTCTTTAAGAGGGAAGAATTAGAGCTGTGCAGCCCCCAGGTGCCGCGGCCCACAGGGAAATTTTCCGGTATCCCGGTGGGCCAGTCCAGCCCTGGTTAGGCAATACAGTCTGAGCACAATAGTGCTTCGTCCTATGCACTTTTTCAGCATTCCTATGGATAGCACACTGATTGGTTAGATAAGTGCTCCCCTTAGAGTGAATGTTGAAAGCATAAGAAAGAAGCAGGTAAACCTGAAAAAAGAAAAAACATATTTCCCTTTTTTTTTGCCTGCAGAATGAGGCAACTATTACATTCAAAGCAAAGCTTTTGAATGAGACAGTTATCTCAAAGTGATGTATGTGCCTTTAATGAAGTAACTGTGTATAATGCATTTGTGTGCATGCCATATTATAGAGAATGGGAGGAAATTATCTCAAGTTTTTAGTGAGTTAGTTTTGGTCACATAAAAGTGACTAATTGAGATGCGAGTTCAAGGATTTAGGCCTGGAAAGGGGGAATAGTCATAACTATAAGTCATGGTCTGACTATGTCACAGTGTCAATGTACATAGAAGAGCTAAGTAATAATGTGACAATTAAAAATAGTCGATACAGGAATACATCTAACTCTGATGAGCCTGGTAAGAAAGGCTCTATCTTGTCAGACAGGTGCCTGCAATAGTAAAATGCTGGGGTTCATAAATAACTGCAATGTACAACAGGTGGGGCTCTCTCTGTGTCTAAGGGATATAGGGGGACTCTACAGGGCAACAGCAGTTGACAGAAGAAAAAATTGCTGCTCTTGAGGGCTGCAAGGTGCAGAGAAACAGCATCAAGCATCCATCTCGGAACAATTCGGGAAGCCTTAATTACTTTTTTTGAATCATGCCCATGGAAATCTGAGTACATTATGGCATTTGCAATGTAAACATGTAATAGTGGCTAGCTAAACCGTGTTCTGTCATAGAACATAGTAGCCTGCTGATTCCAATCAGAATTTGCTTCAGTTCTCCAGAGATTAAAAAAGTACATATATTTTATATTTATCTGTTTATTTAAGGTCAGGTGTGTTGTGATAATTATTTGTATGTAAAATTACCTTATGGCTAAGAATAAAATAAATGTATACGCACATTCAACTGTGCAATTCTGTAAAACTTTTTACTGAACTTTTAGCTTTGCAAAGCTTAAGAGGTGACTTCCCCACCTTAAAAGAAAATATCATATGTTTCCACCCTCTCTGGACGGTAGTGTGCAAGGTTTGGTTCCCAAAGATATAAATGCAATAATATATTCCAGAAAACACTGCAGGGGAAGAACGTTCACTTGCAGTTTCTTTCTTTCTTTTTTTTTTTTCCACTGAAACTACGTTATATCTCTCAATATTTAAGCAAACGTTCCAAGTATAGTTTCCTGAGAGTTTTTGGGGGGCAAATTGATCAAAAAGCAAATTAATTTCAAAATATATGATTTTGAGAGGTACCTGGACAAAACAATGAAATACTTTGATGAATAGATATCTGAGATCAACCAGTTGTGAATAACATGCAACAGAATATGGAACTATTAGTCGATCTCAGAGAGGGACTTTTAAAGTAAAAACTAAAAAAGTCAAATTTTGGAGAAATTGTCAAAAATTCAAGTCTGACAATATGCTTAGTAAAACAGACTAACTGCAAAAATCCTTTCTCTGTTTACGTGAGAGACAAGTCTGGATATTTTCTATGTGAGATATTTTCGCTAGGACAAATTATAGTGCCTTGACGTGCTTGTTTATACTCTTGATGATAATGTCATCAACAACACTGTTATTTTATTAAAGCTACAATGCCATCACTGAACCA